CCGGTCAACTGAATAATGTAATCTAGTATGCGAATAAAGTCTAATCACTACTTATATTTTATTTAAACAGCTTTATCAAGCAGACAATTGGACGTATGGAAATAAGAAAAACAACAATGACCCAGACAAACAATGTAGATAAATCTCATCTTCCAAATACTTGCATGTGAAGTGTGGCCTAGATTGGCCAAATCGACTCTCCGTTACTCAAATTCATAACGATATCTGAGAGCCCATTTTAAAAAATACAGAAGGAAGGTATTTATAAGACGTGACATGTCAGATAGTGAGGTCAAAACAAGCAAAGTGAAATGAGCTAAGATCAAAAAGGTCAAATTAGATACCACAAATAGTCTTAAACCAGAACTATCCTAAAACAGAATGAAAATATATTTTCAGAGTGATAAAGCACCAGCAGGTCACAGGTCCTGCATTTATAGATGAAGGGTGTGCAGTACTTTGCCATTCATCCTCTCACCCCTCTACAGTGCCCCCCCACCCCCCCAAGGCTGCAGCCAGGGGGTGATGGACGAGGGGCAGGGCTGTCGACAGGCACATGCCTGCTCCTTCTGAACACTTTAACCCCCCACCCCAGCAAATGGAGTCCGCCCTCCTCCCCACTCCCACGCCCCGCTATCTGGCCACATTGATTTCCTCTAATGCAGATCGCACACCACTCCACTAAGTACTGTAAAAGCTAATTAGTTGGGTTCCAAGCTTGGATTCTTTGGAGACAATTTGCCATCAGAACACACCTGCCAGAGAAGCGGGGAAGCGTTTCTCCTCATAGGATTCAATGTATTCTGTGTTTAAGAAATAAAAAGAAAGTCATGAACAATAGTGATCCAGCAGCAGGCATGTAGTCTGAGCAGAAACATATATTTTAAAACATGCTTATGTAATTTACTATAATACTACATGCAAAGTGTAGGTTTTATGACCCTGCAAAATTATCAATTGTTATCAATTATTAAAAATGGATGGATGGATGGATGTATATATCATTTAATATATAATCTAATTGTGTATGGTGCTCATTAAAAGCTTCATATTATAAAGGATAATATGTATATTTCATTTTAATTTAAAATATTTTCATGCAAAAAGACAAATGCCAGTATAATAGAAGCGAAATTAAAAATCACAAATAGAAAGAATGAATGACACTTGTGTCGATTAATGGGTAACAAGGTAAGACGCCAAAAATGTGAAATGTGGTTAAAGTGTCCCAGACAGAAGAAAAACATCATGATTGCCAGGAAGATGTGGCGTGCGGCTCTGCCAAGGCACAGTGCGGCCCAGGCCTCTGCCAGGAGATACGAGATATGAAGGAGAAGCTTAAAGGTCTCAGGGCACCATGTGGCACCTTCCATGGGTCTGTTTGCTTCCTCCATTGAGCTTTTGCTCAAGTCCACATGGATCTTTTTTTTTTTAAGTGCGTCATTCCAAAAACCGCTGGAACGTCTTGTAAAAAGGGCCGGCATAACTGCACATCCCAGGTTCAAAGCAGAATCGTGTGTGTGTTTGTGTATACATGTCCACATGGTTTTGTTTAAGTGAGACTGTGGGCTGATCTGTGTGTGTGTGTGTCTGTGTGTGTGTGAGCGGGTATACCTTACCTTATGGGGACAGAATGCCCCCACAACGTGATAAATACCAGTTTCCTGGTCCCCATAAGGGAAAACTTAATTTAATAAAAACCTGTGACTGCTAAGAGAAAACTAAAAACTCTTGTATTTTGCTTGGTTACTTATGGTTATGGTTAGGGCTTGGTGGGGGTTAAGGTTGTCATAGTTAGCGTTAGCATTTTTCTCATAGAAATGAATGAGCGGTCCCCATAAAGATATGTCAACCCGACTGTGTGTATGTGTGTGTGTGTGGTCATGTATATAGAGTATATAGAGAGCCCATATAAAGACATGAATACATGGACTACAATTAGAATGATAGAAGTATTACAACTGAAGTATGATATAGTATGTAAATAATTAGATGGTAAGTTAATGATCACGGAGTCAGTCACTGGGACTGTGGGCCTCCCCTTTAAAAAGTCAATGAGCCTGACTAGTTTGGTCTTACCCATGCAGGTCACTGTCATACGCTTTGCCACATTATAAAGAGACCTCAAAAGGGACCTCAGGAAGAACTGCAAGTGTTTAGTCTGGAGAGGGTTACAAAACCGCAACGTTATGTTTCAGAATCCAAGCGTCTGTCGGCCACCTTTGCTGCAGCTAATGTCCACATTTGCACCGCAGCAATCCTGCAAAGGCTGCAGAGCAAAGTCATACAAGGGAGTTCTGCCAACAGGAAGCCTTTGCTCTCAAAAAAAGAAAAAAAAACAATTGAATGTTCCTGTAGGTTTTTGAAACAATGTCTTCTGGACAGATAAATTGAGAATTTATATTTTTGGGCACAACTGAAAATGCTATGTTTGGAAAAAAAATCTGACAGAGCCTTCAACCAAAATAACCTTATGCCAGGTCTCAAATGTGGTGGGACTGTCGAGGTTTAGGGCTTCTAATCTGCATTAGCATCTAAACAACCGAAGGAACCGTGAATTCAAAGTTTCACCAAAATATTCTGCTAGAGCCCTTTCACCTCAAAAATGAAAACATGCAGTGAATATGCCAGAAAAAGCAAACATTCCGAAATCATTTAAGAATGAATAAGAAGGGTGATGTGTAATGACCAAAGTCAAAGCCCGCAGTGTGTGTGTGTGTGTGTGTGCGTGCGTGTGTGTGTGTGTGTGTGTAAGACCACACCCACATACCTGAGGTAGAAACTTCCCAAAGAACTTCCCATGTGAATGACTGATTAGTAACTAGATGAACTCTTAGGGCACAAAACTTAGGTTATTTACTTCTGTGTATATTTTTAGTGAGCAATAAATAAATACATAAATACCATTAATTTGATTACATTTAAACTGAAATTTAAGCTACAGAAAAGACCCACCTCTGTAATGGGTTGGCACCCCATCCTGGGTTGTTCCCTGCCTTGCACCCGTAAACTCTGGGATAGGCTCCGGACCCCCCCGACCCTGAATAGGATAAGCGGCAAACGAAAATGGATGGATGGTTGGATGGATGAAAGATCCATTCATCGGTTCAAACACTTATGTGGTAGAGAATTGTTGGTTTATCCCAAAGCTCATCTCAGGGACCACAGGACATAGGTGTGCCAGTACGTCACAAGGCACACACTCAATGGAGCATTTTAAAGACGCTAATCTGCGAGGGTCAACAAAATAACGAAATAACGCTGCATGAGTGGGACATGCGCACTCAGGGAGCGGGCAGTGTGATACAGATCAGAGTCTTGTGTTTGCAGTCACTCGTAGCAATTCTTCTTTACGGGCGTTACCAGGCAGACAAGTCTAATCACAACACTATACAAATGAAAACACCAGACAGAACACAGGCATTGTATTTTCGCGGATTTCACCCCACATAACACAGTCTGCCAATCCGGAAATTACACATTACACAGGAATATAATAGATATACATCAGTCATTCTTTTTAAATTTCAATCCAAATGAATAATAGCGGATTAAATAAGACAGACGGACTGAAGCAACAATTTCTCAGCATAACCTTTGATTCGCTGTTACAAACGCTGCAGCTCTTCTAGTATTACATTTACCAGAGCAAAATGTACACGGGCTAAGATTACAACACTCCCAAGAGCAGGCTTGCTTTACAGTAGCTCTCTTAAGTGCCGAATATGGGCGGCGTGGTCAGGCGATAATTTTTGACGGCAGAGCAATTTATATTCCTTTACAAAGGTCCTGTAACTACATGAGATCTGCCCTGCAATTGAAGGCCCTCCAGTTGGGAGTCCAGCATAAATTGGCTTTTAGAGAAATCTAGATAATATATTATGATTCTTCTTCTTATTATTATTATTATTATTATTATTAATAATAATACTAATCGCGCGTTTCAGTGTCCCATGTTTAATTTGTGTTTCGAATTTTTTTTAGGACTTTTGGAAATTATGAATTTTCAGATTTCAGATTTAGTTAAAATCATTCACAATGCTTCTAAAATAGCGGATTTTTCCAAGTTTTTCTTTTTTTGATTACTTCCAATACTCTGGATACTTTGACTTCACCATTCTAGACGAATATTCGGGCTTAAATACACAAATGTGAACAAATATAGTCAATGTAGCTGGAGTCTAAATTGCAATGTAAAGCCAGTGAGAAGAACTTGTGAACATATTACACACGAAAAAAAAATAGTAACTTACAATAACTCTTCAATTCAGAAAGAACTCTGCATGGAATTTTATGTAAGCTAGGTTATTCTAATTTCCTAATTTAAAACCCAGGCAATACATCAAGGTAGCTGTAAGAATTATTATTTTGTTTTACGCTAAAAATATGTTGGCTTTCTAAGACTTTTTAGATAGCCTAACATTATTTGTGTAGAAGCCTCGGAATATTCTACAGCAGCAAGGCCATTAGTCGCAGACAGCCCTAGACTAATCTAACCTCGAGGCTGTATTATTTACTCATTTAATAACATAGTATACGTTTGTGGTGAAGGGAGGAAACCTTAGATATTCATGTGATGAAAGAAAACAAGTTTTTTAGTTTAAAAAATCGTCGGTCAAAAGTTAGTTTTTAATAGCGAGCGGCTGCCAAAGTGAATCTGAATTATGAACAGAATGTGCAAGCTGGGGCTTCGTAGCTCCATCCAAGTTTTTATGAATGGAAGTTTTTTCCTTTTTGTGAATGAAAAACAACTGGAAAACTTTGGATAAAGGCTCTGGGGGTCTCAAACACTGATTGGTCTCGATGTTCCAGCCCCACCTACGGTTGCTATGGTCCCAAAATATCTTGCAACCGATTGGTGTACAGCAGGAGCTGAGATTTCATTCACAAAGTCAGGTCATTCATTAAGACAAAGGCAGAAACTCGAGCCCTTGAAAGAGGAAATCCACCAATCACGAGCTCCGTTGGGCAAACAACTGTCTCAACGCAAGAAAAAAAAAGAAGTCCTTTCCAAATCAACACTAAAGTCTGGAAAGAATTTGCATCAACTTTAGTATCAGGTTAGCTACACTATAAAACTAGATGCATAGGATACAGTAAATCCAATAAATAGCTGTAAGAAGCAGAATTAGAAAAACACCAGGGTAAGCTCTTCAATAACCAAAATGTCTTGACTGCACGCAGTTCCAGTTTCATGGTAAAAATAAATAAATAAAGAAGAACACCGAAATTGCAATAAATGGGTTTATCAATGTTGGGAAATATATGGATTTAGTTTGGTTATACTCTTCATTTGAATGAACCCTAACAGAGAAAATCGAGGTGTTCGAGTGCCTTTAATATTGCTCGGCTTGTTTTTTTTTTCTCTCTTTTGGGTTAAAGTCAAACCAAGCTGAGTAACTTCACTTGTGGCGAGCACAACAACGCGCTGCCTACAAACATTAAAACGCAGCGTAACCTACTGTATATTTCAATAGAAAGCAGGCTTGAGCGGCGGAGGGGGACAGCGAGCCGGCGGGTGACCGCTGGCGCTGCCTCGTCCTCTCCGCATATTTGTGAATGGGGCTCATTATGTATGCAGCTTTCTCGCCTCGCCATTCACAACCGCCGCTCTCTCTCCCCGTGTTCAGGGTGTGTGGATTTAATTCAACTCAGCCTAAATGACCACAAACGGTTAACGGATGGATTATAAGATGGATGGATATTTGGACCAGCAAGTGCCTTATACTTTAGCAAACGTAAGTGTGCAGAAATTCATATGTGTTTACCGCTTTTCTCTGTTTTCAGTTGTGGCTGCTTCGCTTTTCTTTCGATCGCACATACTCGAGACGGGGTCGAAATAATCGCCCCTGCGATCACAGCTATTTATATTTCGCTTTAAACTCTTAACCGACGTAAAGGGGCGCTTAAACGATTACAACACAGCTATGGATGAAATTAAGTTTACTTAGTCTGTTTCCCGAACACTTTTATTGTTTGATGGAACTCTATCAACCATGCTCTTTCTAAGACCCAAGACGTAAAATCAGCAATGTACCAAACAGAGAAAACGTAGAACTATTGCTGCCGACGGTTTTAGAAATTAAATTTTAGTACGCATCTTTCGGTTTTATAAATGTTTTTTGTACTTGTTTATACTAGTTTTAACAGGCTATATCCCTGGTTGTTTGTCCATCATTTATGTGTTTGGGTTACTTATATAATTGTATAAATAATGGTCATTATTGATTGTTATTCTAAAGAATAACTAAAATGCCGAGAGGTATTGAAAAGAAAAAAAAGTGGTTTCTGATCACGGTGGACGAGAGAGGAAAAAGGAAAAATTTAGTAAGCTTTGAATTTATACTCAGTTTTACTTATATTGCAGAAATCGCAAGGAAATGGGCCCTTAAACAGATTATTGATGGCTTCAAAAAGGAAATGCATGGACACAGAATTACCCCCTCAGGAATCTGAAGGTAAGGGAGCTGCTGTGCAGTAAGTGACATGTTACGTACGATATACCTTAAAGTGCAGGCCTCTTGAACTGCCGTTTCACCGAAGCATTTTAGCCATGCATTAAGAGATTTATACATTTTTGTTTTCTTAAATGTGATTAACTAACATTGTGTTTCCCGAGCTAATTTAAGAGCTATATGACTGGTTCATGACTGGTGCGTTTTTTATGATAACACTGACGTCGATATGTAACCGTATTAACCCCGTATTTCCTTTATATATTTTTAGATCTTTTTCAGGATTTAAGCCAACTTCAAGAGACGTGGCTCACAGAAGGTGAGTAGGCGAAACTTTTAAACAATGCGTTTCTCTCTGTGTCCTCATTTTTGGTTCAAGTGTGTCAGGTTATTGTGGCACATATAGACATGGAAATGAGAGCCGCAAGCACAGAAAAAAAATCAGTAGTTCCCTAAAATCTTTTCAGCCTGCGATGATGCTCTGTGCAGGTACTGTCAGGGTACCTTCTGTAGCCCTATGGTGAGGTATCCACCTGTGTTTGCTGAGTTGACAAATAACTGGGGAACATGAGGCATGCTGCATATTATGACTCTGCCGCTGTTGTCGGAACTCGGTCGTGCTTTTCTCCATAGCATGTCTTAGGCATAATTTTACATTTACTTAGAAATATGATTTGACTTTGAGTGATTGTTTTTTTGGCGTGAACTTCGAAACAGCATACGATGAAAGATCTGGTGCTGGGCCTACAACAGGCAAGATAATGAGACTTAAAGTGGAATAGTAACAGAAATAGTATATGGTTTGAAAGAAAAGACGATTGCTTCTTATGAACAAACCCATAACATAATAAACTTGTGTCCTTGAAGTATCGCAGGAAAGAAATCTCGTATTATGTCTCGTATTATGCTCGTATTGCAATCTTTAACATGGACCATGTTAACAGGGCTGGTATGACCTACATCCTCTGCTTCCTGTCTTCATGGGTTATGATTGTTGTATTTAGTCAGCATGTGGTTTGACAAGATTAACCCGCAATTGCAATTTGATGTAAACGGAACCTGTCCACAGGTTATTAAAAGTACCCACTGTTTGCTTTTATGGAGACCATTTTATGGGTTTCAGATTGTTTCCATGTATTTCATCCTAATCTCTCAAAGGCTTGAGATTGATGAGCAAGCGACATATACTTTGAAAGCTGCTGCACTGAACTCCTTTGTGTGTTGAGGAAGCAATTCTGGGATACTGTGCAGTTCTGCAACACTGTTATTTCTGCCAGTAAGCATGTTACGAGCTTCATATTAATTCACCAGGGAGTCGCATAATCTAGACGAGCAGAACTGTAAAGCATAAACGCTATCATAATCTATCGCTTCCTGTACCCATGTATCAACATGTAGATAATAAGTATTCAAAACAAGTTACTTGTAATTTTTGCTGCAAATTTTATATAGCTGTCTCTCCTGTGCATGACATCTAAGATAAGAGATCATTCTCATCATAACCTTAGATGGTCTCATTAAATACAGGAAACCTCACTGGAAAAAGCAAGGATTAGAAAATAGACTTCAAGTCTCCTTTTGTTTTGGCATGTGGCTGTTGCAGTTACTCTAAGATGTATGAGGAGAAGAGTTGATTAAGGTGGGCTTCAGTCCTCAGTGTCCTCACCCTCTCACATACCGTGCTGAACTGTGTGAAATTTACACAGCATCCCTAAAACGGGCATCCAAGTGAGATGAGTTCTGAACACATCCAACGCCCCCCCCCCCAAGTCAAGCAGTAAAAGAATGAAGTGGTTTCACTCCACATTTCCTGGTATTTTAATGAAATATCATTATTGTCTGTATGGACCTATAGGTGATTCATCGACAGCACAACAAGCCAGGGGCGCCAGTGCAAACTGGGATAATACGGGCCTCAGCTTTTATATGTAACTTTAAGTGTGAGAGTACAGTAAAGTTTTCAATGGGAGACCTGCCCTGTCTTGCCCTGTCATTCTTCTTTATTTTTATGACTGAACCTTCCGAGCTCCTCCCAGGATCCTACTAAAGTCATCTGAGGTTCTTCCCAACAAAAAAGGAAATGCGCGTATACACACGACACGGAGGCACGCTTTTGGTCCTGTGTCGACTTGAATCATGGGGTCCATGACAAGACGTTGTTGGAAGCTAACCGCTAACACAAACACGAGCTAAGCCCAGATTAATCCTGGGGTCTGCTACCCGGGAGACCCTGGCAGACACAGGTGAGGAAAGGCTAGTGGCTTCCAGACTATCGTTAATATTTTTCCAAAGAGAAGCTGGCATGCCTCGTTTCAGGCAAGTGAAAACACGTTTAGGTGATTTTGTTTGGAGGATCTAACACATCAGGCATGGACTTCTCCCACATAAAACAGTCAAAGCTTCTTTCCCCCAAGGCAAAAAAAGAGAATGAAGGTAATGATATTAGAATCGAACAACAGGACAGAGAGGTATTTATGAAATCGGTTAATGCAAACACGGACAGTGTGAAACGGCCCTGCAGCTTTTCATCGGTGAGGAAAAAGGTACAAAACCATGTTTGTCAGTCAGAAACTATCCGAAAAGCTGGTCTAATTTTTTTTTCTTTCCGCCTTTTAGTTTTCCAGCTACAGTAATGGCTTGGCAATGCGTAGGTAAAGGAGGAAGAGTACAGTGAGTTTGAGAGCTGGGCACCACTTTACTGGTTTGGATGATGTCACAGGCGCCGGGCACTGGCTCCTTGTGGCTCCTGCAGACTCGCCGCTCTCATTGCATTCTGGGATAAAACAAGGAGTGGCACTGAACAATTTCTGCATAGCTTCTCCGGCACACATGCCAGCGAATGCTGTTGGGGAAAATTAATAAATCTTTCCGGAGCAGTAGTGTTAGGCTCTATGCTGTTAATAGTTTTTGTCTAATCGAATATGAAGATCCCTGTAATCCCCAGACAGTCCTGCCAGATTTTCTCTGGCTGAAAGGAGATCTTCGTATTATGATGGTATTTTCTGACTAACTAACAATCTGCTGCCTGCCGTTTGTTTGGGGTGGTTCGGTACACTTTGCAGAGTGGCAGGTTAACCAGAGACTATTGGCAGGGACTTATATGGACTTTGGTTTTTCTAACACACATGTTCTGTAGCTGTTTGTTCACATACATTGTTATTTCTGCACATTCCATGTGGGGAGTGTTAGAATGTGCATGTTCCTTGCATGTCTCCTCAAGGCCTTGAGGCAGAAAATACCCTGGAATTACTGCTGTTTTCATTTAATGTGACTCACCACTCCAGTCTTTTAAATAAAGGTGATTTAATTTTTTAGGCCTGGAGATCGTGATGAACAGTTTCCTCCACACCTGATATACGGCAGAATTATTCCCAGTCCTTGACATCAGGAGGAAAGTGGTTTTTAAGGAAGAATTTTGAATAGATTTTATTGACACTTAAACCTAAGCTCGATGCATGGAACCTGAGTGTTTGAGTCAATGCAAAGATCGTATCGCAGTGTAATATAAAGCTTGCACTGCAATCAGTGCAGTGAAGGATTTCGATTACTGGCCTGTGTCACATGACCTAGATGTTATCCTTCCGTGCGTAAATGAGGCCTCGTGTGTAAACAGCTGCGGTTCGGACGCATTGTGCATTGCGATGGTGTGATTTAATGCTGATGGTTGAATTTGCATAGAATGTTAAAATTTGGGAGGCATTGCATGTGTGGTAGTTATAATGTTAGATGCACAGCAGAAATGCTGGGAGACTTGTATACTGCCGTTGCTTAAATTTTTCTATTAATTATATTTTTTTTTTTTGTGTTTTTTTTTTATGTTGAGCACTTCTTGGAGGTGTTTAGGGACATTGCCCATAGTGTCATTGAAAGGATGGACTGAGAATGTCAGACCAATGGCTTGTTGGATAGCATTAGCCAAGAAAGCCTGCTTCTCTTACAGGCGCGTTCTCTAATGAATTTAACCAATCGTTTGGCTGCCAGCCAAAACCTTTGGTCTCGGAGTACTTGGGTCAGGTGCTCTTCCTGGAACAAATGCATTCACTTCCCATTGTCACAGCTTGGGCGACCCTGTAACCCCCCCCCCCCCCGATTTTTGGTTTGGGTGGAGCCTTAGCAGGGAATTTGAATATTCCTAAATGGCTGGTACCTATGTCACACCTGGAAAATTTTAAATGACGTGGTGCTGGGAAAGTTTTGCCGCGCTTTACTTTCAGGGTGATTTTCAGAGCAGAATTCTCTGATAATTGATGAAAGCATCGCAGACCGACAGCCGCGATCAAAGAGACCAAAGATCCTTTTATTAGGAAATTCTCTTGCATCAGTGGAAAATGTGATCTCCTTTTTTGCCATGTAAGAGGAAAGAATTATACTACCTGTTTGTAGGGGGTGAACATTCAATTTGAAAGAGACAGTAGTAAACTGGCCACACAGATTACTTTCTGATAATAGTTTGTGCTGAACATAGCTGATTCATACCAGTGAAATAAAAAAATACAGAAAACACCCTTTTAATGTTACTGTAAAACAAAGCATAATTATTGTGCAATCAAATTTTACGAAGTACTTCTTAATCAAAATTCACGCATCTCATTTGCTGCTCAGTCCTTAACTGGTTTAACACTTATCACTGAATAGTATTTCTACTCAAGGGAAGTTTTTAAATGAAATGAAAGACCATGCAGAGAAGAGATTCCTTTCAGGACTTTCAGATTAGGCTCTCTCTCTCTCTCTCTCTCCGTGGCATTTCTGGTTCCATGAAGTTGATTAAAGCTGAGTAAATTATTCATTAAAATAAATCAGTTTGCCACATTTCCAGATTGTCAAAGATATTCTGAGAGTTGGAAGGTCTTGAATCTTGAACGAAAGTTGCTTAAATTAAAATCTGCTTCGGCGAACATGCAGATATCTGCCTGATTTTTCAAATGCTTTTATTTCACACCTCGCGAAATCACGAAGCCAATAGAACCTCCTTTACCAAACTAGCAAAATTGTCGGGTAAAATATTTTTTCCACTTCAGAGCATAATTTATTTTACTCAGAACTGGTAAAACTGGCCCTGACACATTGGGGTGTTGTTATATGACAGGGGAGTTAAGGTCCTTAGAAAAGGGAAAAAAAGATGACAAAAGTGGCAGGCTGAGTGTCCCTAACACCGAGCTCAGGTACTAACCCTTCAACAGGAAGTTCTGTTATTTTAGCTGCGACTTTTCTGTTTGGACATGTTTCTTATTTTAGTTGTGTTGTTGCTTCCTTTTTTCCAGGCGTGGTGCTACGTTTATGGTAAACGGACCACCCTTTCTGCTATCATCCGACAACTGGCAGCCTTTGAAAAGATTTAGATCTATTTAAAACGTGTCACCTTATTGCCCCGTGTAACCTCCGTTCTTGCTGCTTTTCATGTGTGCACTCTGAGCGATTAAAAATGAGCACTGTACTCGTTTGATGTGAGGCCCACTCATTTTTGGTTCAGCCCATTCCTGGCATTAGCAGCGAGCGCCGTGAACTTTGTCAAAGGAGGAAGTTCCGAGAGCGATTTGTCATGCGGTTGTTTTTGCTTTTTTCTTTTTCTTTTTTTGGTGCTTTTGGACAATGAGCAAACAGGGTCTGTTTCGCTTTTCCCAAAGCTGAGGCCTTACCTTCTGCAGCCACTTGTGTCTTGCGTGAGAGTAAACGGGCTGGGTGTCGGGGGATTCGTCACAGGGGCTGCATCGGTGTGTCAGTGCGTGTGGCTGTTCGGCATGCTCCTGCTACGCAGTGTCACACCGTCATCTTTTGTCGTTGGACGGCAGTGGCCAAAAATACAACTGGTGGATTTATTTTGTTTGATAATACACCAGACTACACCTAAATAAAGAATTTCCTTCGACTTCTTGTTTGATAGGTGTGATAAAACAGACACAAGACTGGATTAATAACCAGTACTCAATTATTACAGGGTTCCAGTTACCCTTAAGCAGATCTGTAGAGCATTGGCTTGGAAATATTGGGGCTACATCACGGTATTGGTTTGTTTTAATTGTGTGGCGGGACTCGATTTTATAATTAGCTGTATGACGGTTCTTATCCAGAGCCATTTTCATCAGTTTTTATAGGTAAAAATGTTACCGCTCACGTGTGCAGCTCAGAGGGTCAGGACACTGTGCCTTTGTTTGGAAGGTTGCCGATTCAAATCCCAGGGTTGGTAGAGCCTCTTAGTTTTCCTTGTGATTGACCGAAGGCTGATACGATGCAGAGGTAGCTCTCCTTGTTATTGGCTTAAGGCTGATATGACGCAGAGGTAGCTCTCCTGGTGATTGGCCGAAGGCTAATATGATGCAGAGGTAGCTCTCCTCGTGATTGGCCAAAGTCGAGTCCCAGAATCCGTGCCCATTCTCTGAGCTGCCCCGTCCCCGGCCCCACATCCCCTTCTGCCAAATCCATGTGTCTCTCACACCACCACCACTCATGAAGTGCCCTTGATTGGCTGTTATTTGAAACTGTCCACACTTTTTACAGTTGAACCTGCAGTCAGTCAGAATAAGCCTTTTAGAGGCCTGGGTACCTCGCCAGTTACGCGTCTGTAGGACTTCCTCACACCAGTGACCTTTCTGACGTAGGCAGCCAGCATGAGCTTCACCCCATGACAGTATCCAGAAGTACCCTGTAAACCCCCCCCCCCCCCATACACCTTGTCCTGTGTTATTGATCTGCAGTGATTGGAGGAAAAGCGGCCCCATCCAGGCACGTGTGAGGAAAGTGGCCCGTCGGTGGCCCCGTCGGGCTTGGGCAGAAAATCCGGTTCGGTCATGAATGCGAGAGCCCTGCAGCTAGTGTGGGGGGGGGGTGGAGGGGGGGGATTAGCAGTGCTGGATACGCAGAGAAGCGGCAGCCGGGGGCCTGCCTGCCTCCCCAAATGTCCTCCTCGACATGCAGCCTAAGGAAATGTTGGGGTCATGCTCCACGGAGGGTGTATATGCATATGATGTATGTTTGTATATATATACAGAGCACACATGTGGACACATATACAGAGACACGCTTGTGTATGTAAAGGGAGCTTTCGGTTACCGCATGAAAGTTTTCAGGGTGCCATTCATGAGTGTAATGTGTGATTTCCTGTTTCACTGACTGTGCCTCTTGTGCTGAATCTCTCTCATCTTTACCCACAGCTCAGGTTCCGGACAGCGACGAGCAATTTGTCCCTGACTTCCACTCAGAAAACTGTGAGTACGATCTCGACGTGTCCTATGGGGGCCGGGTGCCTGTGTGACCAGAGCTGGGGCCAAGCAGGCATAGAAAGCAGTGGCTGCAGGGTAAAGTGCATTCATGGTACAGTGATGGAGGTCACAGTGAAGTTCCCAGCTGCCCTCCTGGAAATCTGTGCTGCACATTGTGCTTACAGTGCACTGCGCTCTTACCTATTTGCATTTGTTTTTGTAAAGTTCCTGAGACGAGTCGCTATGCCAATGAGGGATGAGTCACTTTGCTAATTAGAAACAATTTTGGGCCATTTCAACTACAAATGCCCTCCTTTGTGTCCACTGGAAATGGCAAACAGAAAATGGGATTTTAGCACATGGTGACGCTTAGGGCCTCTTTTTGAAAGTTTATTTGTGCATCAAATAAACGCAACGGCAGTGACCCGATATTATTCAACGCCCATCTCTGAATGTGAAGTAAACAAGCCGATCGCTTGTGAGCTGAACGCCTCTGCTGCTGCTCCTGCCCCAATATCTGGAAACACGTTTGATGTTTTTTATGCTTGAATTGTCAGAAAATCCAAGCTGGGGACAGCCTTGTGTAGCTTTTCAATGTCATTTATACAGTTTTTTTTTTTTTTTTTTTTAAATGTTTATAATTGATAATTAAACTAACAATTAGTTAACGGTGCTTTGGGAAAGATGCTTTTATGGTTGCATTTGGATATAGGTGCTGTTAGAAGTGCACCCTTTAAAAGGGATACCTTGAAGCTAGCGGTGCACCTTGTTAGAGCAGTGATAACCAGCACATAACACTCGCAAACACAGTTAGAATCAGCTTTGTTTCACAGCTAATGTACTGTGAATTTGTTCTGGTGTGTCTGATCAAATACATTTCGCACATTAATATACTTATTCCACAGTAAGTAAATAATCAGTGCAACACAGGTGCAGACATAGCGGTTCTCAGTGTAGCTGGTGAGCTGGGTCAGTGATTTCTGAGCTCTAAGAAAAGCTGTTTAAGTGGTGAATTGTCTTGCTTCTGAGAAGCTGGTAGCGTTTCCCAAGAAATGGTGACGAGGGTGCTTTAGGTCAACAGCAGATGTTGCGTCTTACTGCCTTGCCCTCGATTTGCGGTGGTTTTCTGGGACGGGTGACAGTTTCCGGGGACCTACGCAGAGCTGCAGGTGATCCGCTGTGCTTTGCTCTCTGAGCGGCCAAATGCTGGGGCAAACGGCGTTTTCCATTCCAGCACATAATGGGGGCAGGTGTAGAAGAGGCTTGTCCTGTTGGCCGGTGTTGACGCTTGTTCGCCCTGCCAGCGAGGGAAGGGAGGACAGTGCGACGGGCTGGGGGTGTGCATTCTGCTGTTGCACAACACCTGCAGCTCTGGTGAATCTATCTAGATTGCTGCTTCTTCTGCCTGTCAGGAGTGGGCTGCTGGGCGGTGCCGTTGGGCTTCAGCCGTTTTTGTGGTCGTGTACCTGGTTTGGGCTGCAGCAAACACTAGTTTGCTCTATTATAGATTCTCTTTCCACTTCTTTCCTCCATCAGAAGTGTTTGTGTGAGGTTTCAGGACTGGTCCTGCACATGAAGGCCCCGCATGTACCCCTGGGGCAGACTTGGCTGGTGTGACCTGTTGTTTTCCCCTGGAGGGGCCACCAGAGGCCCCTGTCAATCCACCATCCAGTCTCCCGTGTCACATGCATTCCCTCCTTCACTGTCTTCCGTGTTTTCTTTTTCTCTACCCCCACCCACCAAGGCAGGCAGGCAGGCAGGCAGACAGACACACGTCTGTCTGCCCCACACCCTCTTGAGCCAGGCTCTCTGGGATGGCCGCTATTCGGTGTGGGCTGCATGATTAGCGCCCTACTATGTGCTAATTATGTAGGAGACTGGGGCCGTAAATTCAGCTTCCAGTTTTGAGGAGAGTGAGAGGAGAGTGAGAGGAGAGAGGCCCGGCCAGTGAAAGCGCCATTCACAGCCGTCCTGCACTTCCCCTTGCTGATTTACTGCCCCTGCTTGTTTTCCTTGTTTCTTTCCCCCATTCATTCGCTCCCACTCCAGTCCATCTCGTCTCAAGGCTAAATCATTGGCTTCCGCCTAGTTGTTGTCCCACCCCCCACCCCCCCCCAAACTGAGAGAACAGAAATATGTGGCTCTGCTGTTCTCAGCTTTCCAAAATACAACTGCTATGCAACGAGCCCCCAGAAACTACACGTCCTGAGGAGGCGACCCGGCCCCTGAGAGCGTCTCTGCCGACCGCGTCCGGAGCCGCCGAATGCCTGCGTGAACGCGGATCTGCATGTTTTCACTCTCTGTCTGCCTGGCTGTGTTTCGCATGCACACGCCGAGCCGTGCGCGTGCCCCGCACACCTCCCCCCTCTAGCAGCGCGCCTCCACACACACATGCACATAATCTGCTCAGTTTTATGAATGGGCTGTTTGTGAGGGACCGACTGAAGCGGCACTCTGGGCTACAGGAGGGCTTCTCCATTCATGAGTTTCGAGGCCTTAAAGCAACACAGTGAATGGGCAGCTGTGTGTGTTTTATTAAAGGGGATGTGGGGGCGGGGCGGGGCGGGGGGGGGGGCACAAAACTGGGTTGGGATTATTGAGCTTAAATTTTCCTGTCAAGGGAGTTTTTTTTTTTTGTATGAAATAGAAGAAGACGACAGCAGACTGAGGAAAACTAAAAATAATAAGGCAGTCCAGTGTTGAGCAATACCTAACCCCACAAGCAAGCCAGTGACAGTCCAGCACTGTCACGAATGGCAGACGTCGTTTCACTGTGGATGGCTTGTGTGTGCGTGTGTGTGTGTGTGTGCATGCTTTTTTTTGGTCCTGTTTCTGATTAACAAAATTTGGCATACATGAGACTTGCTGGCACATCTGTACTTAATAAAGACAGCCCTTGTGTCCAGGAGGCCATCGCTAACTGCTGCAGATGTGTCCTAGTGCAACACGACCCAGTGGACCAAGGGGATCCAAACATTAGGGATGTCGCAAAGGAAATGGGACGGAGCGTCCCGTGGATCC